AGGAGCTCTGGTAGCGTAGTGGTTACAAATTGGGCTGCCAACTTCAAGGTCAGCAGTTCGAAACTACCAGGTGTTCCACGGGAGAAAGATGAGGCGTTCTGCTCCCATAAAGATTTACAGCCTCTGAAACCCTGTACATGTATAGGGTCGTTATGAGTTGGAACCAACTTCACGGCACATAACCACCACCACATCGGTGTCTGGAATCCTGGAGTGGCACTGGAGGCTAAGCACCAGACTGCTAACCACAAGGTCAGCAGTTCAGACCTACCAGCCGCTCCTCAGAAACCCCATACAGGATCGCTATGAGTCTGAAATGACTCAACAGCATTTAACAACATTAAATCTGTGTCTATGCTACTTTCTACATCAAGTAAAAGTGATAACCCTACATGGATATGGATTCTTTAGCATAACAAAGAAAGCTTAGTCCCAAATGGGATTACATCCATAGATATCTTGTTATTGTTGTTGTTAAGTGCTGTTGAGTTAGTTCCAACCCATAGCAACCCTGTATAGGGTTTCCGAGGAGCAGCTGGTAAACTAGAACTGCCGACCTTGCAGTTCAAACAACTTTGCAATCTGGTGCATTAACCCACAGCACCACACCAGGACTCCATCCATAGAAAATAAAGGTAAGTATTTTAATACCTGCTTAGTGGGGACAGGTAGGTATATATGGTCCCCGTTTTATAGATGTGGACACTAAGGCATAGAAAGGTGCAGTCATTTGCCCAAGGAAACGGCAGCTATCCCGGATGGTGTCAGGCTACACAGCCAGGCTACTCCTTTACTTCCACTTGGATCCCAGCTGGCCTGCCAGACCCAGAAGACACACTTCCCCAGCGCCCAGAGTCCAATCTTCCTGGGGACAGGTGAAGGCAGCCAGAAGCAGATGGTGATGGCGCCAACATAGAGCAAGGGGATTCCCAAACTGCTGAGATGGACCAGCTGCCAGTGAAACTGAACAACAAGTTAATCGCTAGCCACAGATTCCCCTAGCCTAGAAGTGTCAAGAGGCTGAGCTGCCTTCAAACCTCAGCTCTGCCCCCTCCTGGCTGTGTCTTTAAATTAATTAATCTCCAGAAGCTGCAGATTCCTCTCTACAAAAGGAGATAATAATTCTAAACCACAAGATTGTCATGAGGGGGAAATGAAGGTTTGGGACATTGATCTGATACGACCTAGACAGTCTGAGGCCTCTTGTGAGGAACAGGAGTTTCAAGAACTGTCTCTTGTGGCTGTGGTCTCGAGCTTGGGCTTTTAGCTCCAGCAGTTGAGGGTTGTCAGCCAAAGGTCTCTGACTCTATAGCTGATCCCTGCTCAGAGCAGAGCAATAGACAGGACCCCAGCTGTGAGTCAATGAGTAAGCTGGTGCCAACGCAGGGCCACACTATCAACAGCCTCTGGGGCCAGTGGAGGCAGGGGGCTTGGGAGACACTCCCTTGAATGGTACAACGTAGATCTCAGCAGAATAGAGAAAGGGCAGAGAAGGATTTAGAGACCGATGGTAGGGAAAACATTGACCTTGAACTATTACTGACTTAAGTTGTGGTCTCAATTCTGCCATTTAACTTTGTGACTTTGCACAAGTTACGTGCTTGCTCTGAGCCTCAGTTTCCTCAGTCATAAACTGGACTCCATAATCCATCCCCCAGGTTGGCTGTAAGGATTAAATGAGAATGTGTAAAAAAAGGCTTAAAATGACATTAAGCAGTTTTTAGTAATAAAGTTTATCTCACATCTAACACAGCTGGAGGTTTCATTTATTCATTTATTCAAAAACATTTGCTTAGCATCCATTCTGTGCCAAGCACTGTTCTATCAGTGACCATCAAGTCGATTCCAACTCATGTTGATCTTCTACGTGTCAGATAGAACTGCTCTTCATTGGGTTCTTAATGTCTGAGTTTTCGGAAGTAGACTCCAAATACCGTTGGGTGGACTTGTACCTCCATCGTTGATTAGTAACAAGCACATTAACCGTTTATACCACTCAGGGACTTCCAGGAAGTCTTGTTGTTGTTATGTTGTTAAGTGTCATTGAGTCAGTACTGATTTATACCAATCCTGTGCACAACAGAACAAACACTGCCCAGTCCGGCGCCAACCTCACAATCACTGCTACACTGGAGGCCATTGCTACTGCCACTGTGCCAGTTCATCTCATTTGGGGCCTTCTTCTTTTAAGCTGACCTTCCATTTTACCAGGCATAATGTCCTCCAGGGACTGGTCCCTCCTGGTAATATGTCCGAAGTATGAGAGACGATGTCACACAAGCCTGCCTTCCAAGGAGCATTCTGACTATACTTCTGCCAACACAGATTTGTGTATTCTCCTGGCAATCCATGGTACTCTATATTCCTCTCCAGCACCATAACGCAAATGCATCAATTCTTCTACAGTCTTCCTTATTCTGTGTCCAACTTTCACCTAACAACAACAACAACACCTTACAACCATGTTCAGGCATATGTCCCTCAGAGAGTGCACCCCTTGAGCCCCTCATAGAACAGTGTCTGTGTTTGTTTCCAGGAGAGCAGCACCGTCAGCTGAATTTTCGGTGGACAGGACACGCCACTTAATGTCCTTCCTGACTATGATGGGGCCCAGCCCCGACTGGAACGTGGGCTTGTCAGCGGAGGATCTGTGCACCAAGGAGTGCGGCTGGGTCCAGAAGGTGGTGCAAGACCTGATTCCCTGGGATGCTGGCACTGACAGTGGGGTGACCTATGAGGTACGTGTGTGCTGGAGTGGTGAGGGGCACAGCTTCCTGTTAGGCCGCCATGGACACAGAGGTGAATCGGAGGCAGGCTCCGCCCAAGATGAACTCGCAGTCTGATCTATACTGAAGCCTTGGGAGAAGTCGGTACAGATTGATAGTGAACATATAAAGGGGAAATATTGTTGTTAAGTGCCATCAAGTCGGTTCTGACTCATAGCGACCCTGTACAGGGTTTTCAAGGAGCAGTTGGTGTGTTTGAACTTCCAATCTTATAGTTCACAGTCCAGTGCTGAGCCACAGTGCCACACCAGAAGTCCCAAGGGGTGAAATAGTAAATAATAAGTCAGTAAGTAATTGCTAACTTAAAAGAAGCTGAAGACTATTGGCTACAGGCAATCTTGAGTAAGAATAACTGAGTTACATTACAGACAACTCCTACCTGCCTTTTGAAGTCCTGGTGTGGAGTTTTAAGAAAAGCACTGGACTAGAATCACAAGTTGGTGGTTCAAATCCACCATCTGCTCCTCAGAAACACTAACAGGGTTGCTATAAATCAGAACTGACCCAAGGGCACTTAACAACAACTTGCCCTTTAATGTTATGCAAAGTTGTAATGACTAAACCAATCCCAGTTGGTAGTGGTGGTGGTGTTGCTAGGTACAGTTGAGAAGGTTCCAACTCAAGTTGTTGTTAAGTGTTGTCAAGTCCATTCCAACTCATAGTGACCCTGTATAAGGTTTCCAAGAACAGTTGGTAGGTTTGAATTGTCAACCTTTCAGTTAGCAGTCCAGTGCTTATCCTACAGAACCACACCAACCCTACTCACAAGAAATTCTTCATCACGATCAAGTTTACATGCTGTGTGTGCAGTTTTAAATAATTGAAAAGGTTTCAAGCCTTCTCTTGCATAAAAGTAAGGCTAAATCAGAACTGTATGCACTGGGTCCAAATTCTTAAATTAGGAACAGTTAGGAACCGATCTCATTTGTCATTTTTCTTTGGGAAAAGAAACTTAAAGGTTTTTTTAAAAATTGAAAATGACCATGGAAAATAAAGTCTGATTCAGCTCAGAGATGTGTCTGTCCAGAAACAGATGATCAGGGAGAAGGAATCTGCAAAAGAGCAGCACACAGGCCAGTATGAGGGTGGATGGGATGCAAAAGGCATAAAGGCAAAAGAAAAGGATAAAAAAAAAGAGCAGGCAACAGCAGGAGGCTGATGAACATAAGGCTGGGGCCAGATTTGAAGGTCTGGGCGGACATGCTAAAGAGCTTGAATGATTATGATTGTCATTATTTCTCAGATATGGTCAGCACACCAACTGCATCAAAATCTGCAGTCATCCGAAAAACAGTGGGAGAACAATCTGGTAGAGGGGCCAACAAACTATGATGAAATCTGGCCTAACAACTGTTTTTTTGTAAAAAGAAGAAGTTTGGGAACCCAGCCACCATCAGTTGATTATATATTGTCTATGGTATATCTGTACTGAATATACTGCTGTAGCAGACACCTGGGGGCCACAAAGCCTAAGGTATTTACAAGCTAACCAGTGGCCAAAAGTCTGCTGGCCCCTGGCTCAGACTTTTACTAACTGGGATGACCTTTCTGAAACCCGGCTTCTTCACCAGGCCACACCCCTATTTTATTGGTAGAAGAATTGAATAATATAGATGTATAAATTTCCAAGCAAAGCACATAGCATGAATAAGAAATCAAAACCCTCTGCCACAGAGTTGGTTTCAGCTTACATTCCATAGGACAGAGTAGAGCTGCCCGATAGAGTTTTCCAAGGCTTTAATCCAGTATGGCGCTGTGGGTTAATGTGCTGGACTGCAATGTCTGTTTGAACCACATGGTCGGTGGCTCAAGCTCACCAGCCGCTCCTCAGAAACCCTATACAGGGTCACTAAGGGTTAGAACCAATTCAGTGGCACTTAACAACAGCAACAGTCTTTACAGAAGCAGACTGCCACCTCTTTCTCCCTCAGAGGAGCTAGTGGGTTCAAACAGTATCAAATGCTGTAACCGCTGTGCTGCCAAGGCATGACTAAACTCCCACAAATATAAATAGTAACTAAATTACTATCAAACCTTTTGATCCGATTCATATCACAACCAAATTGCTTTGGGATTGTTACCGCTTTTATTCACACTCTCTGTTTCTGTATTTGTTTTGTTTTTGTTCTTCCACCAGTCTCCCAACAAACCCACAATCCCCCAGGAGAAAATTCGGCCCCTAACCAGCCTGGACCACCCTCAGAGTCCTTTCTACGATCCAGAGGGTGGATCTATCACTCAAGTAGCCAGAGTGGTCATCGAGAGAATAGCCCGGAAGGTACTGACACAGACTCCTCCGTTACTAAGAAGACTGGACACCTTTCTGCTCAAAATCATGAGGTCCCTGGCAGAAATCCCCCCAGGATATGGAATTCCTGGACCTCCCAGGGTTTCAAATATGGAAATTATTTTGTAACGTGCAAATGAATACAGTGCTCAACTGTATTGTTGGCAAATCGTGAGTTCCGCACTCGATTACTAATGCCTGTCATGGTAAGGACCTGGATTATGTGGTACATGAGTCACGGATTCATCATCCCAGGGTAGCCACTACTGCTTTCTTGGCATTTCTTTGTCAGTCAAATTGCAAATGTTGGCGCAGAATGGCAGGGTTTTTTACATATAGAGCAGCCTTCAGGTTATATATCCTCCCTCATCTACATTCCATTGTACACATACATCCCATTCTTTCTCTAATGCTAGCCCTCCAAGTAAACTTCCTTTTGCAGGGGGAACAATGCAATATTGTACCTGATAATATCGATGATATTGTAGCAGACCTGGCTCCGGAAGAGAAAGACGAAGGTACATGTTTTCCTTTACTGCTGGTAACAAGATAAATTGGCATAGCCATTTTGGAAAGCAATTTGCTAACATAATTCAGTACCCATAAAAATAGTCGTATCACTCAGTGTGGTAATCCCATCTCCGAAGATTTCTTCTCTAGAAATAGTCCAAAGCAAGGCCAAGGCTAGACACAAATTATTAAGGAACTGACGAGGGTGATGGTGATATTCAACAGTGTCAGCCTTTCAAATGATTCCAGTGTTATCAGAACACTCTCTGCTTTGATTGTCCCACTGGCCTCTGAAGCTGGCCTATAAGGTCTGTCCACTTCCCCAGCCGGGAAAGTGAGGCCTAGACCTGACAGTCAAGAGCCATGGCTTGAGCCCACATTTTCTCATGGGAGCGGGAGCCAGACAACCTGGGTTTTCATTAGCTCTGTGACTTTGGGCAACAAGCTCACCTTAGTTTCCTCAACTGTGGTGGTGGTAGTGGTTACGACTCATAGCGACCCTGTACAGGGTTTCCGAGGCTGTAAATCTTTATGGGAGCAGAAAGCTTCATCTTTCTCCCGTGGAATAGCTGGTAGTTTCGAACTGCTGACCTTGCGGGTCACAGCCCTATTCGTAACCACTGCACTACTGTGGATAACAACAGAAAGCCCTGCACAGACTGTCGTTGTGAGGGCTATGTGGGATAAAAACATACATGGCTCTTAGAACAATGCTATATATTATAGTGATATAATAAGAGCTCCCTGAGCATTGGCTGTCCCTATTCTCATCATGACACTTACATATGGGATCTTTGGAAAATGAAGCAACAACACACAAAGACTTGTGCTTTACAAAATTGCCTATGTATGCCTCCACCTGTGTATAAATGATGTCTGTCAAGGTGAGGGTCTGAAAATGAAAAGACACCATGCCTTGAGGTGAAGGGAGAGTAAGAGACTCTTTCCCACTATTTAGGTACTTATTAGTGAGATGCTAATATTAGTAAGATGCATAGTGTTCTATGGAAAGTGAATTGGTGCTTCTGTACCTGGAGTACCTAGGCTCAATGAGGCCAGTCAGGCAACAGGGATCTACTTATTGTCCCCAAATGAGCCCGTTAGGGGAGAGGGCCAGGTACAGCTTCCAGAGGCCCCCAGGGAAAACATACCACTCTTTCTAGATGACACCCCCGAAACATGCATCTACTCCAACTGGTCCCCGTGGTCCGCCTGCAGCTCCTCCACCTGCGACAAGGGCAAGAGGATGAGGCAGCGTATGCTGAAAGCACAGCTGGACCTCAGTGTCCCCTGCCCTGACACGCAGGACTTCCAGCCCTGCATGGGCCCTGGCTGCAGTGATGAAGGTAAGTGCCAACCCCGACCAGGAAGTGGTCAAGAGAGGCTCAGAAAGGGAGCTTCTTGTCTGGCAAAGGGGGCCCCTCACTTCCTGTCAGTCAGCATCTGTGGTGGGGGCACCAAGACCCTACTTGTAGTTGTCAATGAGGTCCACCTAGGGGACTCCCGATTGCCATGGGGACTATGAACACAGAACATACCTTAGTGACCCACCCCACCCACCATGGAAGAAGATACATACAAGTTACTGAAGATCTAACAAACATAGGTCGGTTTTATGGAAATGATTTGTCATTTCCCATGTGCAGCTGGGCTTTGATTTCACTCTCTTCTTAAGGAACAGGTGAACAGGTTGATCAAGATTGAATCTAGATACACTCTCCTGACTCTATACCATTCATGGACACTCATATATGTCCCATCCCAACCTGGGTCAGAAATTCATTTTTTTACCACTGGACTGACTAGAGTCCGTGCTCAATATCTCTGTCTGCGATGTTCAAAGTTTAGACTTGAAGCACCAGCTTCCCCTGGTTATATCAGGGAAGCTTCATCTTCAATACTGCGTTAAACTAATTGCTTGCAAAGGTCTGCTTCTCAGGGGACCACCTCTCTCTCTCTCTGCCTTGTTGTTGTTGTTAGGTGCCATCGAGTCGGTACCAACCCATAACGACCTTATGCACAGCAGAACAAAACACTGCCCGATCCTGGGCCAACCTCACTACTGTTGCCACACTTGAGTCCATCGATGCTGCCACTTGGCCAATCCATCTTGTTGGGGGTCTTCCTTTTTTCCTCTGACCCTCTACCTTACCAAACATGATATCCTTCTCCAGCGACTGCTCCATCCTGACAATATGTCCAAAGTATGAGAGACGAAGTTTGGCCATCTTGGCCTCCAAGGAGCACTCTGGCTGCACGTCTTCCAACACAGATCTGTTGGTTCTTGTGGCAGTCCATCATGGCACTTTCAATATTCTCCAGCACCTAGATCTATATTCTGTCTTATGGTCCTGTTCATCTCTGAGGTGCACTGAGCAATGGGATAGCATGGAGAGGCTGGACTGGTTTGTGGCAGGAAGGAAAAGCATCCAACTAAAGAAAGGAGCTCTGGTAGCATAGTGGTTACAAATTGGGCTGTGAGCTGCAAGGTCAGCTGTTCGAAACTACCAGCTGTTCTGTGGGAGAAAGATGAAGCTTTCTGCTCCCGTAAAGATTTACAGCCTCAGAAACCCTGTACAGTGTCGCTATGAGTTGGAACCGACTCCACGGCACATAACAACAACAATAAAGAAAGGTTAAAGCCACTCTCTTTAACCTGGCTCTTCCTAGGTTGTTATTGTTAGGTGCCATTGAGTCAGCTCAGACTCTTAGTGAACTTATGCACTACAGAACGAAATCCTGCCCAGTCCTGTGCCATTCTCACAATCGTTGTTAAGTTTGAGCCCATTGTTGCTGCCACTGTGCCAGTCCACCTCATTGAGCATCTTCCTCCTTTTCATTGACCCTCAACTTTACCTGGCATGATTGCCTTCTCCAGGCACTGCGCCCTCCTGAGAGTGTGAGAGACGAGTCTCACCATCCTAGCTACTAAGGAGCATTCTGCCTTTACTTCTTCCAGCACAGATTTGTTTGTTCATCTAGCAGCCCACGGTACTTTCAATGTTCTTCTCCAACACCATAACTCAAATGCATCAATACTTCCTAGATACTAGTCTTAAATACATCTCCTGGCTGCATTCCCATTATGGTTTTTGTTGTTGTTGTTGTTGTTTTTAGTAACTGTTTTTGCCCATGATAAGGCACTGAGCCCTGTGATCCATGGGCTGTTCCTGCAAACAAGCAGGGAGGAAGCTGTCACCAGTCTGTCAGCATAGGAGTCTCTCTTTCTTGGGGGCCATCTGATTGACACCTGCAAGGGAGTTGAGGGCTTTAACCTGCCCCGTCATGGGGAAGAGTCCTTCACATCAGGTGGCTCCCAGGTGATGCTAACAGTTCTGAAACATGTTGAACTGTGACTGATTTAGTACCTAAGGTTCATGCTCCCCAGAAACTACCTTGCCCAAAGTCAGATCGAATTCTCTTATGCTCACATCAGTTCTCTTCTCAATTACCAGAGAGTAGAGGGTGAAGTAGGAAGGAAGCAGAGACCCCTTGGATATTCTGAAGGAATTATTTTGATAAGAAAAATGTCCGTTTCCTTGTAGCAACTTTATCTTAGTGTCTTCCTCATTATCTGAGTCGGGGAGCACGGTGGCTCTGTAAGATAAACACTGGACTGTGAACCACAAGGTCAGCAGTTTGAGCCCACCAGTTGCTCCACAAGAGAAAGCTGAGTCTTTCTGCTCCTGCAAAGATTTACAGCCTCAGAAACCCTGTGAGTTGGAACTAACTTAATCGACGGCCTTAACAACAATGATCTGGGCCATAACCTTTGGCCCACATCTGGACATCTCTCAGGAGACTACAGTCTGTCCCCACTTTGCCCATCTTCCAAGTCACCACTAGAGGGATCTTTGCAAACAAAGAACCTATCATGCCAGTCTCCAGCTGAAAAATCTGTGGCTGCCGTCATTGTCCTTTTGACCAATGTCCTAAATCTGCTGTAATAAAGTATCATAAATTGGATGACTTATAAGAATCTCCATAGTTCTGCAGGCTGGAAGTTCAAATAAGGGTATCAGCAAGACCATATTCTCTCAGAAGGTCCTAGAGAAAGAGCCTTTCTTGTCTGTCCCAGCTTGTGGTCTAGTCAAAGTTTCCCTTGGCCTACAGCGTAACTGTCATCACCTGACCACCTTCCCTGTCTCTCTCTCCATGTTTCTTCTCTTTTCTAGAACTACTCAGATTGAATAGGACTCACCCTGCTCTGCTCTGATCTCAGTTGACTTACTTGATAACAGTTTCAAAGGTCCTCTTCCGAAACAAGGTCATGTTCACAAGTACCAGAAGTTAGGACTTCAGCATATATGTTAGAATTCAGTCCATAACATCCATGAAAAAACTCCTCAGCTTCACTTACTGGTGAACTATACCTGCAGGGAACCAGGGTGGAGGCCTGGCAAAAATTAGCATTTTTACACAGGCATCTACCACAATTGACATTCTACTGCAATGCTAAAGGACACATAGTCAGTGAAGCTACCTGAGGACATCAGTTTGTGGGATGTCTGAATGATCTCTCAGTTCTGACTCCTTCCTTCCAGAAGACTCACTCAGGTTGGCAGTGACAGTATTCTGGCTGCCAGGGTAAGATCTTGCCAGGTCATGAGACTCATCATACTCCTAATGATGTCACACTGATATTTAACTATCTAATTTAGCTTCACATACTGCCCTTAGTTAGTCTTGTCCCTGGGTCTAACTAACATGGGGATTCCGGCTGAGATGTCAGACTGCATCACCAGCCACACTGTCCACACATTAAGTAACAATGACAAGGCATCACGTAAGTGCAAGTGACTGTCCTGTAGACATGTGTAGGTTGGTCTTACATTCTGACCTCAATCCTTCCTTCGAGTTTCATCTCCCAATACCACTGACACATATAAACTCTATACCACAGTCTTTGCATCAATAAAAGGGCACTCAGCTGTGCCCCCTTGTGTGAAACTGTCCGCAGGAGTGGGCCTTGCTTACCTTTCAATACTTGGAATTTATTACCTGTTTATATGTCTGTCTCTTTGTCTCAGGAGTAATATAAGATCCACATCTTATACATCTTTGTTATTTCAGGACATACCACTAAGTAGCCAATAGATTTCTCACTGTCACCAATAAATGGATGAATGGATGGAAAAATGACAAAATGTAGCTTCACGTCCCTCTTCCTTCTTAGAACTAAACAACCAAACACACACCACACACACACACACAAACTCCAAGTGTGTTTCTATTTAGAGCAGCTCCCTACGCTACCTCTGGAATAAGACCAGCAAGTCATGCTGAGAGGTTGCATTATCTTTTCACCAACCACCTGAACATCTCTTACAAAGAGTGTTGTTGTTGTTGTCAGGTGCCATTGAGTCGGAACCGACTCATAGTGACCCCATGCACTGCAGAATGAAACAATGTCTTATCCTGGGCCAACCTCATTACCACTGCCACATTTGAGTCCATCAATGCTGCCACCTGGCCAATCCATCTTGTTGGGGGTCTTCCTCTTTATCTCCGACGCTCCATCTTACCAAGCATGATATCTTTCTCCAGCAACTGTTCCCTCCTGACAATATGTCCAAAGTATGAGAGACGAAGTGCAGGAGCACTCTGGCTGCACTTCTAGCCTTTGCTAAAACTCACTGATGGGAGAAGGCTGCATATCAAGTGGATGGTTCAGCCTGATTATATAGCCTGCCTCATCCTTTATCTCTGGGACACAGATACTCCCTTCCCATTTCCCACTCTGCCATTGGCTCCATTAGCAGCTGGGGTATTCTCTTCTTTGTTCCAAACCTCCACCAAGTCCCTGAAATCTGTTATTAGAGTACAGATCTGTCTGTGTCCTCAAGTCTCTGTTTCCCAAAGTTAATCACACTCTCTATTCTCAGAAGTACATTTCTGTCATCTATTTTTCAAAAATGGGAAGTGTCAACCATAGACAATCATTAGCCTCCGGTTTCCCTGAGCAAACAAGCTTATAGCATCTCTTAGAATACATATAATGTCTTCTAGTACCTCTGGTAATGTAGTGGTTACGAATCAGACTGCAAACCGCAAGTTCAGCAGTTCGAAACTACCAGCTGTTCCATGGGAGAAAGATGAGGCTTTCTGTTCCCGTCAAGATTTATAGCCTCGGAAACCCTGTACAGGGTCTCTATGGGTTGGAACCGACTCTACGGCACTTAACAACAACAAGTGCCATCTTATAGCAATTTCTGCAATGATGAAAATGTTCTATATCTATGCTTCCCAGTATGGTAGCCACTAGCCACACAAGGGGAGCCCTGATGGCTCGACAGTTAAGCTTTTGGCTGCTAGCTAAAAGGTTAGTGGTTTGACCTCAATAGCTGTGCCCTAGGAGAAATATGTGGCCATTTGCTTCCATGAATATTACAGCGTTGGAAATTCTGTGAGACCATTGTACTCGCTTCTACAGGGCTGCTCTTTGTCAGAATCGACATGATGGCGATGGGCTTCAACAGATAATGTCTATCGAGTATTTAAAATGTGGCTGTTGTCTGAGGAAGACATTTTCTTATTGTATTTAATATACTTAGACATACGTTTTCGTTGTTGTTCGATGCCGTTGAATAGGTTCCAATGCATAGTGACCCTATACTCAACAGAACAAAGCACAGCCGTTCACGCACCAGATCACAACTGTTGGTACATTTGGATTCATTGCTGTTGCCACTGTGTCAAATCCATCTCACTGAGGGTCCTCCTCTTTTTCTCTGAACCTCCACTTTACCAAGCATGATTTCCTTCTCCAGGGACTGGTCCCTCCTGATAATGTGTCTGAAGTTTGAGAGACAAAATCTCACCATATTGGTTTCTAAGGAACATGCTCAGTGTACTTCTTCCAACACAGATTTTTTGTTCTTCTGACAGTCCATGCTACTTTTAATATTCTTCTCCAACACCATAATCCCAATGCATTGATTCTTCTGTAGTCCTCCTTATTCATTTGTCCAACTTTCATATGCAGATGAAGTAATTGAAAACATGGATCAGGTATACCTTAGTCCTCAAACTGATATCTTTGCTCTTGAAAACTCTGAAGAGGTCTTGCGCAGCAGATTTGCCTAGCACAATAATACGTCATTTGATTCCTTGACTAATGCTTCTATGTGTGTTGATTGTGGATCCAAGCAAAATGAAGGCTTTGACAACTTCAATCTTTTCTCCATTTATTATAATGTAATTCTTGGTCCATTGGTGGAGAGTTTTTTGTTTTCTTTACATTGAGATGCAATCCATACTGAAAGCTGTAGTCTTTGATCTTCATCAGTATTTTAAGTTCTCTTCCCTTCCAGCAAGCAAAGTTGTATCATCTACATATCGCAGATTGCCAATAAGTCTCCCTCCAATCCTGATGACATGTTCTGCTTCATGTAATCGAGCTTCTTGGATTATGTGATCAGCACACAGATTGAATAAGTACGATGAAAGGACACAACCCTGGCTCACACCTTTCCTGGTTTAAAACTATTCATTGTCCCCTTGTTCTCTTCAAACAACTGCTTCTTAGTCTGTGTACAGGTTCCTCAGGAGCACAGTGAAGTGTTCTGGAATACCCATTCTTCAAAATGTTAGCCATAGTTTGTCATGATCCACACAGTTCAAAGCCTTTGCATAATCAATAAAGCAAAAATAAACATCTTTCCGGTATTCTCTTCTTTCAGTCAAGAGCCACCTAATGTCAGCAATGATATCCCTAGTGCCACATCTTTTTCAGAGTCTGGCTTGAATTTCTGGCAATTGCCTGTTGATGTACTGTCGCAATGATTTTTTCAATATCTTAAGACAAAAGTTACTTGCATAGGATATTAATGATATTGTTTGATGATTTCTGCGTTCTGTTGGGTCACCTCTCTTTGGCATGGCACAAATATGGATCTCTTCCAATCAGTTGGCCATAGATGAGTGAGTGTCTCCAATGCTGCATCAGTTTGTTGAAAGATTTCTATTTGTATTCCACCAATTCCTGAAGCCTTGTTTCTTGCCAATGTCTTCAGTGCACCTTGGACTTCTTCCTTCAGTTCCATCAGTTCTTGACCATATGCTACCACCTGAAGTGGTTGAACATTGACAATAATCATATACAAATGATTATGATTTATTTTAAATCATAAGTAGTTTATATTTCATACCACATATCATATATATGGCATCCTGGTGTGGTTCTGTAAGATAAGTACTGGACTGCTAACTAGAAGGTCAGCAGTTCAAACCCACCAGTGACTCCTGGGAAACTCAATACAGACTTGCAATTACCGACTCCAAGGCACTTAACAGCAACATATGTGTGTGTGAGTGTACTGTACATATAAATATGCCCACATATATATACATATATTTTTTTCTTTTTTAAAAACTATCCTTCCATCCATCCAATTAACTCTCAAGTCAATTTTCTTTCAAGTATTTTTTCATGGGATGAGAAATAAATCCAGAGGGCCCCATGCACTTAGAAAAAGGGCATTTCCTCTTAAAGAGCAATTGTTGTTGTTGATACATACAGTTAAGTTGGTTCCGACTCATAGTGACCCTGTATGGGATTTTGAGGAGGGGCTGGTAAGTTTAAACCTCCGACATTGCAGTTCTATCCTGGCTTGAGGTCGATTGCTTATCCTACAGCGCCACATCAGAACTCCAGAGAGTAATCAATGGTTAGAAGATTTATACCTTATCCCTTTTGTCCTCAACTGCCTAACCCCCCTAGAGTTGGTCCTTCCTGGGTCTGGATTCCTGCTCTTAGGCAGTTTCTGGACGTCTCTGCCTTGCCCCCGGGCTGCGACTTCCAGTCTGCTTGGTGTGTTGCAGAGGGCTCTACCTGCACCATGTCGGAGTGGATCACCTGGTCACCATGCAGCATCTCCTGTGGCATGGGCATGCGGTCCCGGGAGAGGTACGTGAAGCAGTTCCCGGAGGATGGCTCCGTGTGTACGCTGCCCACTGAAGAAACAGAGAAGTGCACAGTCAACGAGGAATGCTGTGAGTGGCCGGGATGGGGGTGGAGGAGTCGAGGGGGTGGGGAAGTGGGGATGGGGCAGAGTCGGAAGTGGGTGGGAAGGAACTCAGGGGCCCTGAGGCCGTGGACACACAACTCCAACTCTGCTGGCCTCCCAGCTCCCAGCAGCTGCCTGATGACGGAGTGGGGCGAGTGGGATGAATGCAGCGCCACCTGCGGGATGGGCATGAAGAAGCGGCACCGCATGGTCAAAATGAGTCCAGCCGACGGCTCTATGTGCAAGGCGGAGACGGCGCAAGCAGAGAAGTGCATGATGCCTGAGTGCCGTGAGTGGGCGTGGGGAGCAGGTCAGGTACGACGTAGTGGATGGGGACGGGTGTGAAAGGCGGCGAAACCCCACCACCATATAAAAGGTGGGCAGCTGCCCAGGTCAGCAAGGAAACATGGTCCACCATCCTTGCTGGCGATGGTATAGTTGCGGTGCGTGGGCATGAACCAGACCTAGAGGGTGTGGGCTCATTTGGGGGAAAATCTGAGCAATTGAGCAATGCTTTAAAGGCAACTGGTGGTACTGAGTAGAATTACTTGCAGATGTACTTTATAGACACTACCACCACCAGCAGCATACATGAACACATATGTGCAGGACATGAACTCCCCAGGTCATCTTAGGCCCCAAATCTTGTTCTACATTTGGCTTGTCTGACCCCAGCAAGCATTGGGACCCCTTCTAAATGCACATAAACCCACCCATCAATACATGAGTGTATGCATGCACATGACTAGATACGTATTCTGGGAATTTCAGTACCAAAATGTACAAACCAGACAGAGCTGACCGATGTCTTAGTGCATGATTTTCATGGAGAGTGGGCTTTTTCTGTCTCCAGTGAGTTTCAGCTCAGCTCTATGGTGCTGCTACAGGTGAGAACTTGTGTACACTTATTCTGTGTCACATGCAGTACATGACCAACAGAGGAGACACGAGGTAGTGTCAAAAAGAGAAGTAGACAGCTGAGCCACTTTTTGCCCTTTGGTGCTCACTCTGATCTGAACCCAGGGGCCAACTCCACTTTACTCCAGAGGCTATAGCTAGGAAACACTTGTGGAGGGTACTTCAGGGTCAAAGAGATCAGGGTAAACACAGAGAGCTTGTTCTCATTGGCAAACCTGGCTTTGGACCTAGACACCATCCCATGCTTGCTGTCCCCATGGTCTGAGTGGAGCGACTGCAGTGTGACCTGTGGGAAGGGCATGCGCACCCGCCAGCGGATGCTCAAGTCTCTGGCCGAGCTTGGTGACTGTAACGAGGATCTGGAGCAGGTGGAGAAGTGCATGCTGCCTGAATGCCGTAAGTCCCAGGGATCCGAGGAGCCTAGCTCTCCTCTCCCAGAGCCTTCTTGAGTAATAGAGGGAACAAAAAATGTAACTTATGTCCTGGCCGCCAATCTTGTCTCTACTGCTTACCAACCACCTGTACTAGATGAAGTCAATCTGCCCCTGGAACCTCAGTTTCTCCTTCTGTAAATGGGGTAACAGCACCTGCCTTACGCTCCTCATAGACTTGTTGAGATATTCCAAGGAGAGTGCAGGAGTTAGGTGATCACGTCTCTGTCAAACATGAGGTACACTCACATCCATCTGTGTCTTCCCAGCCATTGACTGTGAGCTCACCGAGTGGTCCCAGTGGTCAGAATGTAACAAATCATGTGGAAAAGGCCACATGATTCGAACCCGGTTGATCCAGATGGAGCCTCAGTTTGGAGGCGCTCCCTGTCCAGAGACTGTGCAGCGCAAAAAGTGCCGCATCCGGAAATGCCTTCGAAACCCATCCATCCAGAAACTGCGCTGGAGGGAGGCCAGAGAGAGCAGGAGAAGTGAGCAGCTGAGGGAAGAGTCTGAAGGGGAGCAGTTTCCAGGTACCACTCCCAAATGTGGGGCTGGGCTCCACACTGGGCCAGGCCTTGGGGCTAGGGACTGGGGAGGAGAAATGGGGGGACAATGAGAAATTTTCTGGGGTTTTTAGAACTACAGCTTGATTCTCAGATGCAATGTGATTGCAAGATACCCACAGGCTATTGAAGAGTCTGGGCTTCCTTGGGGAGCAAACTGTTAATGTTAAACAAAATTTGGAGGTTTGGATCCACTTAGAGGTGCCTAGTGATCTACTTCCCCTTCATCAGTCCTTGAAAGCTCTTTGTAACACAGTTCTACTTTGACACACATGGGGCTGCCATAAGTCAGAACCAACTCACTGACAACTGGTTTGGGTTTTTTGGCTTAGCCTATCACAGTGTTGTGTACCGCACTGGTCGACCAGCATTAAGACCAGTTATGTGCCAGGCACTGTGCCATGGGCCTTTCCTCTATGGAGCTTACAGTGCTGTGGTAAACAGAGGGAATGCATAATCATTACTGTGGTGAGTTCTACAGAGGACGAATATATACTCTACGGAAGCATTTAAACAAGAACTCAAACTTAATTGCTGAGGGTCAGTTAAATTTTCTTTGAGCAAAGCATGTTGAACCTGCATAGGAAAAATAAGAAATTGTGCTTGAATGTACTTAGTTTCTGGGACACTAAATACTTGGAGAACAAGATACAAGAAAATATAATTAAATGCTCCTTGCATACCCAGCAACTCCAAAACAGAGGCATTTTTAAACAATGATTTATTAGTCTATGATCCTGTGGCTCAAGGAACGTATGATAGAATTCTGCAAAACCAATGATTTGTTCATTTCAAACACCTTCTTTAGAAAGCATAAGAGATGACTATACATATGGACCTCACCAAATGGAATACATAGAAATCAAATTGATTACATCTGCGGAAAGAGAAGATGGAAAAGCTCCATATCATCAGTCAAAACAAGGCCAGGGGCAGACTGTGGAACAGACCATCAATTACTCCTATGTAAATTCAAACTGAAGCTGAAGAAAATGAAAACAAGTCCATGAGAGCCAAAAGATGACCTTGAATATATCCCACCTGAATTTAGAGATCATCTGAAGAACAGATTTAATACATTAAACACTAAAGACCAAAGACCAAAAGAGTTGTGGGATGACATCAAGAACATCATACATGAAGAAAGCAAAAAGTCATTGAGAAGACAAGAAAGAAGGAAAAGACCAAAATAGATGTTAGAAGAGACACTGAAACTCGCTCTCCAGCGTAGAGATGCTAAAGCAAATGGAAGAAATGAAGAAGTCCAAGAGCTGAACAGAAAATTTCAAAGTTCAGCTGGAGAAGATAAAGCCAATTATTTCAACAAAATGTGCAAAGATCTGGACTCAAAACCAAAGAGGATGAACACACTCAGCATTTCTCAATCTGGGGGAACTGAAGAAAAGTCAAGCCTCAACTTTCATTATTGAAAGATTCTCTGGGCAAATTATTGAATGATGCAGAAAGCATCAAGAGAAGATGAAAGGAATACACAGAAAGCAACTGTACCAAAAGGAAATGGTTATTGTTCAACCATTTCTAGAGGTAGCATATGATCAAGAGCCAATGATACTTAGGGAGGAAGTCTAAAGTGCATTGAAGGAATTGGCAAAGAACAAGGCACCAGGAATTGATGCAATAAAAATTGAAATCTTTCAAGAAAGTGAGGCGGCACAAGAGGGACTCATTCATCTATGCCAAAATATTTGAAAGACAACTATCTGGCTGACCGATTGGAAGAGATCCATATTTGTGCCCATTCCAAAGAGAGGTGGCACAACAGAATGCGGAAATCATCGGACAATCTCTATGATATCTCATGTGAGTAAAGTTTTTCTAAAGGTAATACAGAAACGGCTACAATCATACATTGTATGAATTTCCAGAGGTTCAAGCCGGATTCAGAAGAGGCTGTGGAACGAGAGATATCATTGCTGATGTCAGATGGATCTTGGCTGAAAGCAGAGAATATCAGAAAGATGTTTACCTGTGCTTTACTGACTGTGCAAAGGCTTTCGATTGTGTGGATCATGACAAGCTATGGACAACATTGTGAAGTGTGAGTATTCTGGAACACTTAATCATGCTCATGAGGAATCTGTACCTGGACCAAGAAGCAGTTGTTTGAACAGAACATGGGAACACTGAATGTTTTAAAATTAGGAAAGGTGTGCAACAGGGTTGTATTCTTTCACCATACTTATTCAACCTGTATGCTGAGCAAATAATACGAGAAGCTGGGTTCTTGAAGAAAAATGTGGCATCAGGATTGGAGGAAGACTCATTAACAACCTG